CCCCCTGAGCAGGGGGAGGGGAGCCACCCAATGTCCTGGCTTGCAGGTCTGTCTGTCTGTCTATTGGCTCGGTCCAGAAGGGAGGGAGAATACGTCTGCACAGAGGCTGGCGGGTCCAGGAGGACATAAATCAAGAGAGAAAGGAGGAAGGGAAACGAGGGTGGGGACAGAAAGTACCGCCAAGGCCGAGGAGAAAAACACAGACGATAAGTAGCGTCCTGAATACTTCCCTTGGGTGGGCCGCGCCGTCCACTCCCAGCCTCCTCGTTGGCAACCAGCCCGCCCCGGGGGAACGCCGAGCCTTCCCGAACCTTCCTGAGCCGGGAGCCACTGTCCCTAGACCACGCGTTCCAGTCCAGGCATCCGGGTTCCGGCATCGCTGGCTTCCTCTGAAGAGGTTTCCAGAACAGCTGGCCGAGGGCCTGAGCAGGTGGCTGACGCTGCGTCTTTGCACCACCAGCAGCGGCGAGTGCCACCCTGTTCCCTGCGGCACCCCTAGAACTCAGCCACCCGCTGGGGCCACGCTCACGCCCCGCCTGTCTGTCACCGCGTCCTGAGGCCTGCACGGACACGCACGACCCGACCTTGACCTTGCCCGCCCACCTGTGCCGGGCCCGGTGCTCAGAACTCGTCCAGAGAGGGAGGCAAGTGCTGCCGTGGTCCCATCGGGCAGATGCGGAAACCAAGGCTCAGAGAAGCCGGGCTACCGTTTAAGAAGGCGGCCCCGTGCCGGGCCCCCGTGTCAGGAACTTTCCAGAACTCAGACATTTCTGGCTCTCCACAGGGACAGCTTCCCTCGTCCCCTCTCTTCGTAGGTGTGAAGGCCGAGCCTTAGTCACACACGGAAGAGGGGTCTGCCGGGCCCCTACGGTGTCAGCCCGGATGCTCGGGCTCAGAGACGGCTTAGCCAGGCTCGCCAGCTTCGGGCCCCGGGCAGGGGGCTCGGTCTCTGTGCACCTTGGTGGTCTCATCTGTAAAATGGGAGTGAATCTGGCCTCTGCCTTCTGCTGTGGAAGGACGGCCACCCAGTGGGAGCGCCCCGGGAGGCCCGAGGCACGTCTGGGTGGTAGTGACTACCGGGGGGGACGAGAAGCAGGAACAGGACTAGGGCGTGGACGCAGCACCCCAGCCCCAGTGCAACCCCTCCCAGGATGTTCACACCCCTCGCTCGGCGAACCAGCCACACCCTTCGTGGGGGCCGGTGCAGCGTGAACACGCAGACACCTTATGCAGAAAGTGTTCAGCATCTCGAGACGGTAACTGCTGAGCGTGAAGCCCGGGGCAGGCCCTGCTGAGGCCGTGCGGCTGCCCTGGTCACACGCCCGGGAAGTGGCCCTGCCCCTCAGCTCTGGGGGCTTTCGGTAGAGAGCCCAGAAGGACAGGAGCTGGGGTGGAGGGGCGGGGAGGCGAGGGGAGCCAGGGATCTGGGGAAGAGGGACGCACGTCAAAGGCAGAGAGGGAGGCTGGCTGACAGAGAAAAGTGAGTGAGCACACGCCCTCTCTCTGGGCCTCAGTTTCCTTGGCTGTAAAATGGGACCGTTTGCCCCAGCTCCCACATTTCCAATGAGTTTGCCATGATCCCTCCAAGAGGGGCAGCTGGCCCCAGAAGACCATTTTGACAGTGACAGGATTGGGCAGGAGCTCAGCCGGGACTTGCGAGTGAAAGCTACCTGTCCTTCAGGCTGGGGAACAGCACGGGGGGCTCCTGGAAGGAGGGACTCTCCCGGGGCGCTGCAGGCTTCCCGGGGCGCTAAATGTGAGACCCTGGAGCTGGGAGAGGACCCAGATATGAGTGACCAGAAAGCCTGGGAACCTGGGTAATGTTATTAACCATGTCACTCCAATACATTTAACGAAAAAGGAAGCCAGCCGGCCTGGACCAGGAGCCACCCGGCAGGACAGGGGGCAGCCCAGGGCCCCCGCCTGAGGCGTGCCCTCTCCCAGGCCGCCAGGACTCAGCGATGGGGAGGTGAGGGCATCGCCCAGCCAGGCTCCGGGAAGCCGCCCTGCCCTTCCCCAGAGCCCTGCTCCTGATTTCCTCCGTGTCTGCGGCTTTTCACCAGAGGGGAGAGAAAAACAGCCAAAGAAAGGCCCATTTAGGCCAGGCAGGCCTGCTTTCCCCAGGAGAGGCGAGGCTGGCAGTCCAAGGCCTCCGCCCGGCCGTGCCAGGCTTTCCGCCAACACAGGAGACAGAGGGCAAGGCTTGGGCAAAGCTGCGCCTCTGGCACCATCTACAACCTGGCATTTCTCAGCCCCTCCTGGCTCAGGGCTTCCGGGCCCCATGTGTTGGGTTTCAGCCCCAATTCTGTGCCACCCACGATCTCACGTAAACAACACGGCCCTGCTCCCGTGAGGAAAGCCCCTTTGTGATCCCCGAGTCACAGCGGGGGAAACTGAGGCTCAGAGCAGGGAAGCGACCTTTCCGAGGTCCCGCAGCCGGCACGCCGCAGAAACGGGTTTCCAAACAGGTCCCTGGGAGCAGCGGGGTTTCTGCTTCTACCCACCGGGCGGCCGGCCGCTCCATTCTTGCTGGAGGAAGACCCTTTTTCTTCGTGACCCACATCTCTGACAGCTGAAGAGGCCCCCTGTGAGTTCAGGCTGTCATAAAAGAGATTGGAAATCGCACACGCTCCCTAAGGGCCCGCACTTGACGTCAGTCAGCCCACCTCCTGCCGGGCTGGGAGGCCAGTGGAAACTTTAACGCCCAGCCTGGCGCAGCAGCGGGCAGGGCAGCCGCCAGTCTCTCTCCCTCTTGTAAACATGTCGCCGGCCGGCCACAGGTGCCGCCCTAAATCAACTCTCTTTAACCCTGGAAGAAACTCCTCGTTTCTCCCAACCTCTGTGCCTACCTCTGTCATCCAGTCCTGAGCGTGGTAGGAGAGGGGACCCAAGATTCAGTCAAAAAAGCCACCGTAGCCAAGGAATCGTCTCTTTTTCACGCTGGTTTACGGAACAGGCTACCCAGGAGAGTGAGCCGAGAACCCACACGCCCTCTGGGATTTCCAACTCCATCAGCTGGAGATTGTCTGAAATCCTCCATCGTCCAGATGTTCAAGTTCAAGCACCGAGTGTGGCGAGGACGAGGCCTGGGGACAATGGGATGCTGCTCCGGTGACACGGGCTGCCTTTGGACCACCCGGAAAACTGGGTGGGACGTGCCAGGCCCCACAGAGGGTCCAGAGTGCCTCCGGCCGCGCCCTGCTCCCGCCCACCACCCCAGACATCCCTTCCTCGTCAAGTCGCTCAATCTCTGCTCACGCTGCTCTCCCCGCTGAGATATCTTTTATTTCTGGCCAATTTCTCCTCCCAGCACTCAAGGCCAATTCATCCCTGGAACCAGCTCAAATGCAGGCTTCCTTCTCAGAGTATTTCCTGACTGCCCCCCTCAGCGCTGCCCGCTCTCTGCGCCTGCAGGACCTTGTGCGCTGAATGCACCGGACCTGCACTAACTCAAGTGCATTTAACAAGAAGCGTGCGGTCCAAACGGCCCAGTGTTCACCTCCTGAGCTGAATGGATGGTGGATGGGATTGTCCTGGGGGCTTGAGAGACAGGGGCAATTGGCCCCCGTGCATGTTAAAGCCAACCTTCTGGCTAGATGAATCCCACTCTGTTGACACCCCTGAGGGCAGGGCTCGTCTCCCCCGGTATCCCCTGCTCCCGGCACACAGTAGGTGCTCAGCAAATGCTGGGAGAATGTGTGGAGGCTGTGTCCCAGCTCTCTCGC